GACCAATTGTACAAAAAAAAAAAAAAAAAAAAATCACTTACGAGATATTTTTTATACATACTCTAGTTACAAAATAAAATTGATAAAAGAGTCAATTACAATACTAAAAAAAAATAATTTTTCCTTTAAGAATTTGAATAGAAATAAATGTACAAAAGAAAATCTTAAATTTAGATAAAATAAAAATAAAAATGAAGGACAACAATTTTTCATGTTTACGTAGACTTTCATATTTGATTCTAGAAGACAATAGAAATAGAATATATGTTGTCTCAATTATAGTTTAATTTTAGGCTTGATTTGAGTTTTTAAAATTTCGAGGGCATATAAAAACTAGACCTATTTGAACCCAATGTAAAAATAAATAAATAACAATATCAACAATGTTCCAAATTTTGGACAAATGACATCAAATTGTGTTTTCTACCTACAATTCTGCTCTAAAAAAGTAGATATATAACAAGTTTTACAACTGAATGTTGTTTAATATTAGCAACTAATAAGTTGAGTTTTTTCAACTATATACAAAGAAGGGGGCGGGGGCGGAACTACATGGGGGCTAAGAAGATCACGACCCCCAGCCTTCAAAATATATGTATTTTTTAATATATAAAAAAATCTATATATTTTATAGTAATTTGTCTCTCTTAATTTTTTATTTTGTAATATAAAAAATTTATCCGGATGTTGATTTATACTTTTAGTTTTTAAATTTTATTTTTTTATAGTAAAAAATATATTAAAATTTATGTAATTTTATTGAAATTTTTTCTAAAACATTTAAATTTTTTAATTTTTTTTTTATCTTTTGCAAAAACATTCGATTCCCACCCCCCTCTCCCCCGAACTTTTACTACTGGTTCCATCACTTGGGGGAGTAGATTGAAAATGCATTTTATCCACTCAAATCTAAAATTTAAAAACATGCATAAGCAATCCTAAAGTACTAGTTTTACACTTGAATTTAATTTCTATTTGTTATAATATTTCACAAAAATAAAAATAAAAAAGTAAATAAGACAATATGAAATTAAGATAATTTGTAACCCAGTTTGAATTCAATTGAATCTACCTTTGAAGTCATTAACAAAGTAATGTATTTTACGGAAACTCCTTAACCAAATAATAAAGAATTAAAAAATAATAGAAAGTAAAATTATATAGGATTGAGCTCTAGACCCATATTTGAGCATCCGAAAAAAAACCCTAATCTCAATTCATTATAAGACTTTTCAATCCAACATTATTTTATCAATAGATTTGGGTTTTTAATTCTCAAATGTGTCGAAAGAATCTTTGATGTATCAAAAAGTTGGATCTGGTTAAATCAAACAACTAAATCTAACAAATTGAAGGTTAAATTGAATGAATAGAAAAATCCACAACCTAGCTATCAAATGAGGAAAAAAATAAACATGTATAAAATTAGATTGAAAAAGCAACATCACCTTGAATTTAAAATGTATCGAAAAATTAGATCTAAGTGAATCAAAAGTAGGAATAAATAAATAGAAATATCCGCAATCTATTGGAAGAAAGGTGCAGGAATACATGAAAATAGATTGAAAATAAAGAAGAAAATATCACCTTAACTTTATATAGTTTCTTCAAAATATGTGCTGAATGTTGAAATTTCTGAATTCTCTCAACTGCTCAAATCTAGATTTGTGAAAATTGCAGAAGCCTGTTTATATAGTGGGGAAAAAAAGCAAAATTTTATGACCGGCTTACCGGGACCGTTACTGAGTTTCAAGGGGCCCAAATTGAGAAAAAAAAAAAAAAACTTGGATTCGTATTTATTTATTATATGAAAAGAATTTTCGACCCTAAAAAAATAGATAAAAAAAACAGTGCAAATCAAATGTCATTCACAATTATATGGCTTCTCAATATATCCATGCCCTGGCCACAATATTATGCCACCTTATTACTTTACATTGTATATAAACACAATCAATTGTGTTTTAACTTTCAATGTGGTGATAGTTGGTTTATAATGGTAATTATTAATAGGCCATAATCATTTATAAAGCCCAAATTTCCTTAGCCCAAGACCAATATATATATATATATATTAATCCAAATTAATAATCCAATTAATTTGGTTTGTAGTGGACCATAATATTTCTATTCCACTACAAAAAAATAATATATTTGTAACGGAATTCCGTCCCTAAAGTTCATGTAGCTAACGTAATTCCATTCCTAATTCCGTCTCTAATGTCATTAGTAACGGAAAAAGTAGATTTAGAGACAAAAAAATTTTGTTACAAAATTGATTTTTTCTTGTAGTGTTCATACGAATAATCAATTTAAAAAATTCTGAATTTAATTTTCAAACAAAATATATCGATTAATATTTAAATTGAATTTCCAACGTCAAAATGTATTGACCACGAAAGTTAGATCATTATAGAGTATAATCCAATTAGTATAAAAATTTAATTGTTGTGTTTTCTTCCACCATAAATTTTGGTTAAAAATTACTAAAGAAATTGAATAAGTTACATAATTAAAATATAGTTTAATTTTGAAAATTAATTTGAGATTTTCAAACCTTGAGTGTATCAAATGACCTCGAGCTTATTAAAAAACAAGATTTAATCGAATATATATCATCTAAATTAATAATCATCTACATTTTGTTTGTAGGCCTGTAGAATTTCTATTATAGATCAATTAATTGATTTTGGAATTTTGAATTTAAATTTTTTAAAAAATATATCGAGATTATCCAACATCAAAATATATTGATCAAGAAATTTAGATCATTATACGGTAATCTCATTATTATTGTCAATTTTAAAAGAAAATGTACCATGAAAATTTTATATTATTTGTTGTGTATTTTTCGACCATCAAACTGAAGAAATATAGTTTAATGAGAGAGAATTGAAAGAGAAAGAATACATATGAATGTATGTTCATAAAGAAACATCACTTAATTAGACTATCCAAAAGTTGTTTAAATTTTTGAGGAAAAAATTGCATAAAATATCCATCATATATACCTCATTTATCATCTTTATTTTGTATTTATCTTTATAGAAAAATATATTTACACATTTGCAAAATTCGTTATTTTTATCATTTGGCCGTGCGTGACATTCACCCCATCATGCGCAGCCAAACGATAGAAATAACGACTTTTTTAAACATATAGGATATATTTTGACAATATAAGGCAAAAGTGATAATATGGTATACATAGGGCATATTTTTCGCAATTTTTCCAAATTTTTGAGATGTCTTTTAGTGCGTCAATTTGGGAAACATGCACACTACTCTTTATATTGAAGAAACTAACAAATTCTATGACTTGATTTATTTATAACATATGTTCAACAAAATTAACATATGTTTATGTCTCATGTTCCTGAAATTCAACTTACTGGTTTTTCTCGAAAAATGAAATCCAAACTTCTTATTTGTTCATAAAGCAATGACTAGATGTTAATTTAATTATTATATCTGTTTCCGCTGAATTCATTCTATTTAAGCATGATCATGATTTAATGTTTAAATCGATGTATGAAATTATAATTATTTCTAACATCTCAATGATGTGTTTGTCATTTGAAAGAGTCATAACAAAATTTAATTACCAATTACAACCAATGGGGTGTTTATTTACAAAAATGTAAAAATAAAATATTATTATTTATAAATATTTTATAAAAATAAAATAAAATTGGTAACTCTGCATATGTGAATTGATAGCAAACACACGCATATAGATAACAAAAATTTATACTCCTTCCGTAGTTCAATTATATTTCTATTTTATCTATAATTTACGGATGAAAGAAAAATAAATTGAATGACGGAGGAGGAGTATAATATAAATAGATAAAAAATTATATATTTTCATATTAGTTTGTAAAATATAGATAATTATAAGCAAACATTACTTCAATTATATTCTTTAATTATATTTCTACTACCAAAAGTAGATTTGGTAAAAATAAAAAAAAAAACACATACAGAAATGATAATAAAATAAAATAAAATAAAAATGTGTGGATTCAAATTCAAATTTATGTAATGGAACCATCACAATTATGTATCATCACTACCCCACACACACAAAATTTCAATTTCAATTTATTTCAATTTATAGAATTAGGAACACCAATGATTAGCTTTTTAATCCCCACCACACATCATAATCCAAGCCCATTTCACAAATGGATTTCCATATATATATATATATATATATATATATGTTTTTAAACCAAACTTCAACTGCAGGACACTCTGTAACCCACCCACCCACCTTTGTTTTATTTAAATAATTTAAAAAGATATAAATTCCATAGCCATTAATGAGAAATAAAAATTCAATCTTGGGATCAAAAAAATAATGGGTTGCTGATATTGCTGTGTTTTGTATATATCTCAATCCCTCTTTCAACTTGGCACATGCACAGATTTATACACACACACACATACATTTATATACATATATAGATATATATATTCATATATGTGTATATATATGTGTGTGTGTGTGGTTCTATTATTGCACATGTACAATGTTCCCTGTGGATTCTCATATACAACTGTCAAGTTGAATATCTCTTGTCTTCTGCACTAAAAATAATCACACCTCACTTGATACATAATTCTAGAGTAATGAAATAATTAAGCACAAATAGTTTCTATTACTCAAAAATAAATTAATAAAGAATTACATGATAATCCCATTTCATACTTTTATCAAAGACAAGAAGTAAGTGGCATGTGATACAGCAAAAATTGACAAGTTTTTGACAGCTAGATCTTGCAGATGTTTGTACTATTGTATTCCTGATTAAAAGCCTTGTCTGAGAACAAAAAAAAAAAAAAAAAAAAGGATTATTTTTTTATCAAAAAAGAACCCCAAGAATTTAAAAGAACCAAAAAAAATAAAATAAACAGCAAACAGCATCTCCAAAAATTATTAGGGTTACTTAAAATTAATGTAAAGAAGGGAGATTCAACTTTGGCTGCTAAAAATGTTGAAAGGAAACAAGCAACTGTACATTCCAATGGATTAAAAGGTCCAAACATTCCCAAGAAAAAAATAATAATAATAATAACAGAGATACCCAAAAAAAAAAAAAAAAACATAAATTTAAACAGCAAGTTGCTGTTGCTGTTGATGTGATGATTCATCTTCATTAAAACAAGAATGTGGTACTTTTGATGATCTCCCATTAATTTCTTCTGCAATAATATTAATATTGCTGCTGATCTGAGGCTGCAAATTCATTTCTCTATGGAGATATAAACAGTATGTCTGAAAAGTTGCTGGGGTCACATTCAAATGAAACCCTAATCCAAATAGGAAATCCACTTCAAGAAAGTTCATTTCTGTTGTGCTGATCCCTCCAACTTTGGCATAGTAAGCATTGTTATAATACCTGAACCAAAAAAATTATTTATATAATGTCACAACAAAATTGAAATTTTTAAAAAAGAAAAAAAAATTGTTTTCATAATGTGGAATGAATTAATTAAATAGTGGTGAAATTTTTGCAAGCCTTTGTTGGGCAGTAGCTTTCAATTGTGAATGCTGGATTGTGACATTCATCACTTTATATGAGTGGCTATCTTTGAAGATCACAAGCAAGAATTTAAAATTTAAATAAAATAACATAATATGGGTTTGAAAAAAATTAAAGCTGACTGATGATTAACAGACAAGGTATGTATGCATAATTAGGTTGTTGGGATAATCAAGAAGTTTAAGCAAAGATTAATCACAAGTAATCATCAATTCAAAGACCCCCCCCCCCCCCCCTAATTATTATATACCCATATCTATCAATACTTCAAGATCAATCCCATTTCATAATTCAGCTTCCAAATCAAGATTCAACAAGAAAATTTCCAAAAAAAAAAAAATGAAATTTTGATCACAAGAATTAAACTAAGACTCACATGTCATCCAAGAACTTAGCAGAAAGCATGACACTAGTGATGAGCAGCCTGTGGACATTAAATGAATTGATAGGCAATGACGGGTGGCGCTGCGTGAAGCGATCGAGGTAGACGTAGGCAACAATGTAGCAAGAAGGGCTACAATTTGCATACTTGAAGATCCTTTCGAGATAGGTCGCGACGGAGATGGTTGGCCGGGTGAGGCCATGGAAGACCGAGATCTTCTGCGGCTGGAATCCCGGGCTGCGATCGTTCGATTCGGCGACACTTTGGAGAAGAGATGAGAGGAAGGAGATGAGCTTAGGCATCTCATTAGGGCTCTCCAACATCAATGCCATTTTTGGTTTGCTTGCCTAAGCTCAATCTTGGATTTTGTTTCATGTTCAAACTGGCCTATTTATATTATATACAGACATGACATAAAATAAAAATAAATTGAAATGAAATGAAAGAGGCAACTAACAACCTGTAGGCTGGTGGTTACCTATGTGGGGGTGGAATGACCAAAATACCCCTCTTTTTTGTATGTGTGTTTTGTTTTTCAAGTTTTAACTTGTGAAGGAGGGAAAGGTTAAGTGCACTCATGTCATGTGTGTTGTGTTGCCAATGCTTTCTTTGCCTTTTTTTTTGGAGATAAAAAAATTAAATTTTAAAATAAAAAAAGTAAAAAAAGTCTCAACAACAATATTTATGTATTATATATGTATGTTTTGGTGTATGTATATTTGGATCTTGATTCTCTATAGATTTTTCTCATGACAGGCATATGCCAATCATGTGAGTCATTACATCACTCTTCTTATGATCAATGGTGAATGTGAGACCTTTTTGGGTCCCACTTTTCTTGCCAACTCCCGGGACCAGAGCTCCATGATGGATCCTACAGCAATGGCCAGATCCCGCAAAGAGAGATTAATTGTACACAATTTTATAATAAATGATATAGGCTTGTTTTTCTAACACAGCTGAAAATGGACCACTGATATGTCATTTAACAAATTTAAGGATTCATTACTGTTTGGGAATAGACATCTTAGCTGTATGGGGTAAACCATATTGTCGGCACACACTAGTTGCAGGTCCGGGACTTCAAGTCCCCATCACGTCGAAAACCCGGTTTACCGGCACGCCGGCATTGTGTCCGAACCCGATCCATACCTTAAAAGGGCTCGTCGGAAAATGCATACGAAGCTTCGTCGTCATCCTCCGCTGTCGCCGGAGTAGAGCTTGCGTCGAAGTCGGATAGCTTGATATTGGACATGTAAACTTCGTCATCAAGACAACCCGCTCGCTTCAAGATCTCCGTCAAGGCATGTCTACTTGCATCATCGTCTCTTCGATCGCAAATCTTGAGAATGGCGCAGACGTTGACGGGCTTCGGTTTCCAGCTCATCGAGCCTTCAGCCGACGCAGCATTCTCCATGCAATACAACGCTTCGGAGATTTCCGTATTCCGGATGTGATTTTCCGACAGAATCTCCCAAGTCATCGCGTTAGGCCTTCCTCCCATTTTGACCATATCGTCGAAAAAGGCTTCCGCCTTCTCGGAAAGCCCTTTCTTAACGTACGAACTCAGAAGGAGATTCGCGACCCTCGGATCGTACAGCGACTTCACTGAAAGCCATTCCTCGTAGATTTGCTCAGCACCGTTGATGTCATCGACTCGAACGAGGGCAGAGATCATCGTATGGTAGCCGAAATTGGTGATGTTGACGAATGTAGCCTTGTAAATTTTCCATATTCGATACACCTCTTCGTTGTCGCCCACGCTGCCGTAGAGACTGATGAGGTAATGATATGGGATTCGATCCCGACCGGTTATTCGAATCTCCATCTCCCTCAAACAGCTTTTCGCCTTGCCGAGATGGCCAAACTTGATATACATTGTAGCCATCGTGCTGAAGGTTGTCCAGTTGGGATTGATGGCGTCGTCGAGCTGCATCTGTTCAAAAGCTTGCTCCATTTTCTCGAGAGATCCTTGAGATCCACACGACGACAGCCAAATATTGTACGAGTAGGTATCTAGCACGACGCCTTTCTCCTTCATCTCCCATATAAGCGACTCGATCTTGTTGTGATCTTTAAGGTTTGCGTAGAGTGTCATCATCACATTGTATGGAAGTGCGTGAATGGCGTAGCCACTGTACCTGATTTTGTCCATTAGAGATTCGGCCTTTTCCCTCATTCTAGCGCGGACGTATGCATTCAAAAGAGACCCATAGATTCTCTTATCTTTTAAAGCATCCGGCAACTTCATGAAGTATTGTTCTGCACTCTCAACCCCGTGCACTTTGGCGATCAAATCTAACTGAATGGCAGTGTCGCTTGTCGTTATTCTGTATAACTCTGGTCTATTATTCATCCACTCGTAAACCTACATAACAAGATAATACAGATATCAGATGCAGAATGTGCGATAAGAGAGCTAGACTTGCTTCTCAGTCACATACACATCCTACATAAATATTCGTCACCAGCAAGGGGGAGAAACCCGAATCTCCCCTGTTATAAAAGCCCAACAGTTAAGAAAACTCAACCCCCACAAACAACCACAAAAGGATCATAAATAATCTCCAAATCAATTACCATCTACCGCAAAGCCAAAGCTCACTAAGGATGCAATCATACTAGCCAAATCCTATATACACAATCTTGCAATTGCATTAGTTATGTACAAGCCTAAACAATTAACAAAATGACCACACTTTGTGAATATACACGAGTTCTTTTTAAGTTCTTCTTCAATTTAATTCCTTCGACGACAATGCCTTTACATTATATGAACTTACAGGATAATCAAACTACATTATTAACACATAAAGACATCAAGGCAGGAATTGCACCACTATCAAATGAATTCAAATAAATTTATATCAATATGACCACAAATTGTTCAACAATGTCTAAGCCCTTTGCTTCTCAAATTTTCAATCAACGGCAGAGTCCTTTCTAACAAATACTAGATATGCACTTTCTGGTTTCTCTTGTCCTCATATGAATCATACAATCCAATTTTATATTCGGGAAAATGAAATTGACCTAAAATATATACCTCAAGAGCATATCTGTAGCGCCTGAACTTCCTGAGCTCTTTCACGACCCTGCAAAGCTCCCATTTGGTGATCCTCCGACCCTCATTTTCCACCTGGTTCAAAGCAGAAGCAGCGCCTGCATTGCGGTCATCCATCATCGATATCTTCTTGAATATAGCGTTCCAATTCGGCATAGGTCTCTTCTCGTAGTCAACTGTTCCATAGCTATGAACCTGTGATATTGAAGAACACGTAACCAAGCCGGAGCTTTTAGGGGTTTTATAACCGGCGGATACCAACGGCTGCTTCACCGAAAAGGTGGAATCTCGCCGCAACTCCGACGAGAATGAGATTGCATTTGACGAATTCGAGTGACGCTGATTCTGTGCGTGATAATTTAGGGCAAATTTTGAGGTAATTGGTTGAAGCAACATGGCTGTTTAGGGTTTAAGCTTTCAATTGGGACTGAAATTTCATTTCTGAGGATAAGATACCTGTTTTTTCTCCTAATTTAATACTTTTCCTTATTTTCAATTGCGTCCCTTAGATCCTACTTTATTTCAAAATGGCCCTCAATCATTCGTCTAGCTCATATTGGCCTTGAAGAAAATTTTGATTTAAATTTGTTGAATTTTATGTATACCATTTTATCAAATCGTTTTCATTCAATTTAAAGATTAAATTCGAATTTTTGTAATATTTTTATATATTTAAAATATTATCAAATATATTTTACATTTTATCAAATAGTATTAAGAAATTCACCCAATTCAAAAATTATTTGAATATTATTTTCAAAAAAATATCATATCAATTTTTTTTTTTCAGAATTTAAAATTTTCTATATAAATAGAACATAGAGCTGTAAATCAAGTAAATATGAAGAAAAAAAAAAGAGTTTTTATTATTTTTCAATATTATATTCACATTAAATATATATTTTTATTTATTATTATAAAAATTATTTATTGATTAGAATATCTAATTAAAAAATTACTCATAGTATTAGAAATAAAAATTTCAACTTGAAAACAATTAAATACAACCAAAGAGCTAAGAGCACCCCACCCCAAGACTTGCTATAGTAAGTCAAGCGACGTGTGGAAAAGGTTTCTATAAACGCATATTAATTTCACATGCAATTAATGTTGCGGAATTATTAGGCGCTCTTTGTGCTATATTAGCACTATTATTATAATCTTATTTCTTTTATTTATAAAATATTCAACCATTATTATTTTTTTTTCTATTTTTATAAAAAATATTTTTTTTATTTATTTTTCTTTTCTATTAACCAGATAAAGAATAAATTTGTCTGATTTATAAATTTTTAAGATTTTCTTCAAATCTAACAATATGAAATTTTAATTTGCACCTTAACTTATTCAATAAATTCATTTAAAAAATCGATACAAACATACAAATTATTAACCCATAAGAAAACATAAATCGAGCAAGACAATCAAAACAACATTCTCGAAACTCACAAAGCATCGCTACATATTTATATATATATATATATATGCTTGTAAGAAAAACGACATCAAAACCTAAGCCATGAAACATCAAACCAAAGCTTGAGAGTCAACAACAACATCCCCAAGTTTTTCTTGCACAAGATCAGCCATCATCAAATCATCCTCCTTCTCAACACCATCCTCTCTTCTAATCAAAACTGCATGAACCAAAACCACAGGCACAGTGGCTGCAAGAACTATAAAAAGATGCTTCGTCGCGCGGGTCGCGATCATCAGAACGCACGCGACGACGAACAACAGGAAGAACACGGCCCGCCTGTCGACGATCTTGTGAATAAAGCTCGAATCGGGGACGGCGCGCACGACTAGGTAGTAGAGGAATCCCACCTCCGTCGTGGCGACTAGGCACACGACGGATTCCCCGCGTGCCGGAGCGAGGGCGATGAACAAAACGGTCCATATAAATATCGTATAGTACAACCAGAACTTTGTGACGTTCCTCGCGATCCTAATTGCGGCGGAATCACGAGACGGAGGGACGTCGAAGGGCCATGAAAAGGTTATGGTGTAAGAATCTAATTTCCGGGATCGATCGTTGTCGTCGTCGTTGTCGGCCGCCGCCACCGCCGGAGGAGGAGGGTGAGAGTTGTGGATTGACCTTTGTGTGGTGGTGGTGGTGGTGGTGGAAGCCATGGGTGAAAATTTAAGGAAGGGTGAGAGGGAGTGTTGTAATTCTAAGGTTTTAAAGAGACAAGTTGTATTGTGTAATGTAATGAGTCAATGGTGGCATTGGATTAAATGTGTAGTTTTGTAGGAAAAGGACAACAATGCCGACGCCGCGTGGACTTGTGAAATGAAGACTAAAGACTCTGATTTTCGGGTTGAGAGAAGATACTGTGCTCATTTCCTGTAAGGGTGTGTTTGTCCGAGGGTTTGGATTTTGAATTGGGATTTGAATAATAAAAATTTTAAATTTAAATAATATGATATAAATAAGCATTGATGTGATGTTTTGAATATAAAATTGATTTTTTTTATAATAAAAAAAATAAAAAATAAATATTTAATTTGATATTTTTGGAGAAAATATTTTGTAAAAATAGTAGAAATTCCACAAAATCCCTGAAACAAACACACCCTAAATTTAATTTGAATTTGATATTAAAATAAATATATAATAATATATTTTTGTAAAATTAAGAACATAGATTCCGATCTAAATAGTAGAAATTTGAATCTAAATGTGAAAAAAAACAAATAATATATTATTATGTTTTATATTATATATATATATATATACACATTTCTTTAAGTTCAAACCTAATCTATGAGAGCTTCAGAATTTGAATTTATAATTTTACTGTCTGAACGCAAGTTTTAGGCTTTGTTTAGATAGAAATTTTTGAAAATTTTTGAAATTTTGGAAATTTGAAAAAAAATACTTTCACTGTCTCAAATAAGGTGCAACGTGTTTTTTGTATGAATTTTTAAGTGGGTAATATTAAGTATGATAATTTAGAAATCATGTGATGTGATAGAGAGAAATGTTAATTTTATTTTTTTATTTGGATAATGTGAGAGGATACAATGCTGAGGACATATTAAATATAATTAATTATTTTCTATTTTGAAAATATTGAGAGTGTTTGAGATAAAACTTTATTTTCACAAGTAAACTATAAAAAATTATGTAAAAAATATAAAATAATAAGCCTATATAATACTCCTTCCGTCCCACGTACCATGTCCAAGCATCCTACATTTTTTTTTTAAAATAATTATACATTTTAATCTCATTTTAAACTTTTTAATTTTTTTTTAATTTTAATTAAATTAATTAATTATTTTAATATTAATTTATAATTATTTATATTATAAAATAATTATTTTTTACTAATACATTATTAATATAGTGTAACTATATCCTACCGTCCACATACAGTATGTGAAAAAGAGGGAGTATATTAAATTTTTTTTATAAATATATATTTGAGAAAGTGTATTTTTATTTTTATTTTTTTTTTGTTAGAAAAAGCAAAAACCACAGGCTAATGTTATTATATGCATATCTAATGGTGCCTGCCTGTTAGCGTTGTTTGGTCACTTTTTTGGTTATTTTCTTCAACGGACTCCACCCACCACGGCGGCGTAAATGACAGCGCCGGCGACTGCTCGGAGCGCCCACCTCCTACGCCTCGTCCTCTCCTGCCGGAAAATGACGGCTCAAGTCACGTGCGCAGACAATTACTCCATCATCGCCATGGCTTCCTCCTCCGAACAGGAATTCGCCAAGGACTACAGAGCGAAGCTCAACCGTTTCCCCCGTTCTCGCATCTATTGGGACTCCAAAATCGCTTCCAAAATCGGCGACAAGCTCGCAATCCGTCTCCGAGAAGTCGGCGTCTCGAGCGTCCGCATCGACGTGCAGGAGGAGCTCTCGAGGCCGATCTATTACCGGAAGATGCTCACCCCCTTTTACGACTCTGTCAAGCGAATCGGAATCACCATCGACGGCGCCGAGGATTTGCCATATCTAGGTTAACAATCGTCTTCAGAAATCGAGGTATTGCTCTCGAATCTCGTTAATTTGACGATTAAACCTAATTTCATCGTCGTCTCTATTTTCCCCCAATCTCTGTCTCACAGCCCCCTGCCATATTCCAATACCAATTGTTCTATTGTGATACGTTTATGAACAATTTAATATTACGAAAAAAGGTTAATTGTGATGATTGCAACTATTGCTGCCATGGATGATTGCTCGAATTAGACCAGAACAGTAACAGTGCTTGAACAAGAAAGGAAATTGTCTTTTAGGTTAAGAAAAAAGAGATGATTGATTTATTTAGCTTCCAATTAGCTTATGAATCATATAGAATCATCACAAAATGCTTGAATTCCTCTTTAGCTCATCTACACTTGCCAATGATTCACTGTTTTATTAGCCATTTTCGGTGTGTCTTCGATCCATGATCATATATAATCCTCATGTGTTTTGTAATCAAAATTCATGCTGTAAGATTTTATACACAATGCTGTGAACTGTAAGGATTTGTAAGTGTGTGGAAGTTCTAGAAGGTTAGTCGACATCTCGTCTCATATAGCTATATCCCATGTATCTGTTTTCTTACAACATTGTATGGTCATCTTCGATCATCTCTTTTTCTTACAACCTTTGCCATAATCGATTCAGCGAGACAACTCTTGATCTATATCTTAACAATTTTCGACCATTTACCTTGCAGATGTAGACGCCGAATTTTTGTCCGCGCCTCTTAGAAAGAAAATGGTCGAGAGCCAAGATAGTTTCCGGGTTTTAAAGTTAGCATAAACTCGATCAAACGACGGCATCCACAACCATGTACATTATTTTGTAAAATCGATGTTTATTCGTATGTTGGATATTTGTCTGACATAACTCATGTTTTATATTCTTTGATTCTTCGATAAATCTTGAGATCGCACAGGAAATAATTTCTCTAAACCAAACCGAAGCATAAGTTCGAGAAAATCGAACTAAAAGGGAATGTAATAACACTAGCTAGGCTGCCTTGGAGCAATGCAGTGTCCCAATACACTCAGGGTATGTAATGTAATGTAGTGTATATATATATATGTCTGTATTTATACACACGAACAATCTCGATCGAAACACATATGGTACACGCAATTCCTACAAGAACAGGTGCCGAGTACTCTTAAGTATATCTGCGAGAACGACTAGAATGAAGTGAAACAGTCGTGATCCGAGGAATTTGAATCGTCGCAGGGAGTGTGGTTGTGTCGGCCTTCGTAGGTTGTTATTACCATCCGGCAATCTTCAGACAGCCTCTCGACCCTCTTCTTCACCCGGCAATTGTTGTGCGTGCATCTGTAATAACTTCTGCAAGCACATTCCATCGATTTTTCTCGATCATCCAAACTAAACAATAATTTTAAAAAAACCAAAAATATGCCGAGCTACGAACAACATATGTGGAATCAACAACACAAAAGACAACATTGATTGCGATGCATTCATTGATTCAAATGATTCAATTTTAAGCACAAACACATACATATATATATATATACATGTATCACATTTTATGATCTAATTAAGAAATAAAACATGATATATATATATACACTCCCTATTTAAGAAAAAATCATAATAGAGGCTAACTAATCAACATTAATTCATTGTTAATATATACATGCAAGATTCGATTTAAATCCATAATTTTACGGACACGAATTCAAGCGAAAAATATATATATTTTGCATTAGGTAACTACAGGTCCCAAGAAATGTGTGAAGAAGAAAGCATGATAACGGATGAAGGTTAAGGCAAGGATTAAAAGACAGACAGACCACAGATGAAAAATCAAATCACTACTTTACCAGAATTTTGTTCAGTTCATCATCAGCAGAGGCAGCTTTTGTAATCCAATCAAATCTAATATCTAATCTAATCTACAGTTTAATTACTAGAGATCGAGGTACCTGGGATGAAGGCTGTTCTTGACAACCTTCTGTCCATACTTCCTCCATTTGTAGCCATCGTCAAGAACATCGACATCACTCCTTGTCTGAAAACAAAACCTAGGCTCCCTCAGCTTCCTCCTTATCTTGATCTTGCTCTTGTCTGTCGTCGAACAACTGCTGCTCCTCCACCTCCATCACACAATAATAATACATCAAATTAAAAATGGAGTACAGAAAGACCAGCACAAACTCTATATAGTGGAACCAGCACTTGTTGTCCCTCTCAGACACGCTAATATACATACATACATCTAGATATATATATATAATTTTATTTCTTCTTTCTGTACATAAACAGTGGATCTTCTCCCTGCCAGATCAATTACAGATCCATATATATATATATATATATATATAAATTGGGATATATGATGAAAAGGAAGAAAACCCTTTTCTCCAACTTCCTTGGAAATCTTCCTAAATGGAAACCCCCAATTTTCAAAACAAAAAGGCTCGACTAAATAAGGATATATGGATCGAATTAAAGGATCTCTGGCTGGCTAGGGTTTGATGATTAAAAAGAAGGATGATCGATCAGAACAGAACTCAGAAGTACCCAGCAGCAATTCATTACACATTAATTGAATTCGATGAAATTAAAGTAGTAAAAATAAAAAATGGAAAATTAGAGGATAAAGACAGATTGCAATGATACCATGAATTGCTTCCCTCGTTGGTGTTATTGCCACTGCAATTTTCATCATTATTAGGGTTGCTCTTGTCAGGATCCAATCCCACCTGTGTAAAATTAAAATTAAATTAATTAATTCGATCTTCTGACTGATCTAAATTAAAGAGAGCTGCAGTTGGATCTTAGCAATGAAGCAAACTCGACATATCAGAAATTAACAGTGTGATCATATCTATCCAAGAATTCAAACCCGCAATTAATCAAAATTGAGAATTAATTAATTAATAACCAAATATACCTGCCGGTCGTTGTTATTCCATGAGGCTCGATTATTCGCGATCTCATTATGAATATTAAACCCTAAGGAAGCATTATTATTAGTAGTAGTGTTGCAGCTGGCGGTGGTTGGCTTGGACACGGCGGCGCCGTCGAGAGGCGGCTGAGAGGACGGCGGCGGCGGCGGCGGCGCTACCAGGAAGCTCAAGACCTGATTGTGATCCTCGAACTGAACAAAACCCATTTCTTGATGATGATGATGATGAGATTGAGGTGCTGAGAAGCTCGAGATTTGCAGGTGACTGTGATGATCGAATACCGATGGCAATCCTGACGACGATCTCTCCCCTTCCATTAAAGACCTAATTGAAAAAAATCTCGAGCAAATTCTTGATGGTGGATTATTGATTGTAAAGCCTATTAACAATAATACACACAGATATATGTATGTATATATATATATATGTATGTAGAAATTTCTGGTTGGGAAAGGGGTATTAATGCATGGTGAGGGGAGATCAGTGGAATTAAAGTAGGGTATGGGTATGGGAAACGAAGCACAATACGGCGACGTATTGACCATACATAATACGACGACGTATTGACCGTAATACGAATATACATTGATACGGTTATACGAATACGAGAATGTTTCTTGAGTGGGGAGGCGGATGCGTTGCTGCGGTCAAATTCGTAGAATTAAGTCCATGGAATTTTATTTTATTTTATTTTTTATTTTTTTGAATATGGAGTGTGTGGGTGTATGTATATATATATACACGTGAATTATTGATTATTTATTTATTTATTTATGAGTAGTTGTTAATAATAATAATAATAATAATAAATAGAAAGAAATGAATAAATTCAAGATTATGCATCATCGTGTTTCTTAACTCTTCCATGTTATTCTTTCATAGGTTGTCTGAACGCTACACAGAATATACATCATTAGTTTACAACAGTGACATTGACACATTTTCTCCCTCTTAGTATTTCCTTTTCCCTTTCTCTCTCTAGGGCAAATATATACATATTATGTATATATATATATATATAGCCATAGGTCTTGTTTTGAAGAGATAAGAAGCATTTATTTTGGGCAATGATGAGGTCACGTACAGTACGGTGTTTGTTTCTACTTCTATATAATTATTTAACTGTATTTTAAAAATTATTTTAATAATTTTTCTATTAAAAAGTTTAGAATATTTTAAATTCAAAAAATAAAAAAAATAATCAAATAATATATACAAGGGGCCATCACATATCTAGGATAGGGGACAAGAAAATATTATAGAGAAATGCTACTATTACAGGATGCAATACATAATAATATTTATTTATAAAAGTATTAAATATTATTTAAGTAAAAAAAATTAAATACCTAAATTCAATTTAAACTCCCAATGGAACACACTATAGTCTATGCAAGGTGTTAGTGGGCTCCTACATACTCTCCATTCATATTATTACCCATTTGTGTTGGGTTTGTGTCGAATTGAATACTTTAAATAGATTAAATTATTTAATTTTATTTTGATCTATTTATTATTGTATCGGGTTTGGGTTGACTTGTGTTGACCCGTATATATAATTAAGTCTAATTTATTGATTCAAATTAAATAATTTTTTATTTTGTTGTCGTGTTATGTTAGTTTTTATTTGTTTGAACTTAAATGAGGTTGAATTATTTAAAACTGAACTTAGTTTAAATTAATTTATGAAAAAATTATTAAATTATGATTATTTTATATATATAATAAATATATTAATCAATATTAATATATTATAATCGGATTGTCGTGTCGGATTCGAGTTGAGAGCCTCAACCCTAACCCGACTCATTTATTATCGTGTCGGGTTCATGTCAACCAGTATAAATCCAATTATTTCGTGTCGGATTGCTGTGTCTGATTAATTTTTAACAGCTCTACATATTAGGTTCTTTTTAAACATAATATTTTGTATTTTTTAAGTTCAAATTTTTTGAGAATAATAAAAAATAAGTACTTAATATTATATTTTATAAATATATAAATAAATAGTCTCAAAAAGTTTTGAGAATATTTAGGTATCAAAGCCTTAATTGTTTTTAATTTGTAATGGAAACAAAAATAAAATATTATTTCCTTTATTCATCATATGTTTGATTATTATTTTCTTTATTCATGAAAATACATTTACTTCTATCCCTAATATTATGCGCATTTATAAATATATTATAATTATTTATACACTCAATTTATTCAAAAAAACAAAGTTATTGGCTTCCTAAGTTATTTATTTATTTTTTAAAAATATTTTTAATTTATATCATAATGAACTAGTATGATATTATATTTATTAAAAAATTCGTATTAAATTCAAATAAATATATATTTATCGGATAAGTACTATATATATATTTAAAATATTTAAATCAATTTAAATTTATTATTTAAAATATATTAAAAATATATATATTTAAAATAAATAAATTTAAAATAGGTGTTGATGTGATATTTTGAATATAAAATTAATTTTTAGTATAATATAAAAAATAAAAAATAAGTATTTGATTTAATATTTTTAAAAAAAAATGAAATAAATAATGCATTTAAAATCCAATCCCATTACACTTACTACTGTTTCTAGGTATGTTCCAAATTATTGAACTACTAATTTAATAAATTAATAAAAACTTATCAAATTCTTACCTTCCATGCAAATTCAACAATGGAGGCAAAGAAAATTTAGTACTTTTATTTTATTTTATTACCATCTTTTACCTTTCAAGTTGTCTCTAACTGTATTTCCCAAACAATAATAAAATATTAATTATATTTTATACAAAATTATCCATATAATTAAAATTATTTTATTTTACAATTTATTATGTATATTTTAAAAATATTTTAGTTAATAAATTCTTACACAATACTTACTACTCATACTATATTAATATTATAGTATGATATAAACAATAACTAAAAACCTATACATATAAAATAATAGACCAGTGCTTAAAATATCACAATTTCTATATATTCTAAACTATTTATCAATTATAATTTGTTTAGAGAAAATATTATGTCAGTATCTATTTTTATAAAATATCATATTAATTATTTAAATTTTTTTTACTCTTTCTAAAATTACTCAAAATTTTCAAATGTTTTTATCTAAATAAAAAATATACTCTTTTTGTCTTTTTAAAAATTGTGCTCACTATGTTTATCTCTAAAAATATTCTTATTTTTTATTTAGTATAAATTATACTACTCCCTCCGTCACACAGAACTATAGTTTTGACTGCGTTGAACATGATATTTAAAGAATATTGATATTATATTGATAGTGGGTAAAAAGTATGAGTAAAATATTTTTTGTCCTTACGAGTGTATTAATGTAAAAAGTAGTGTTAATTCTGTAATAATAACAAAAATATAAAGGTACTTTTATAGTGATATAGTTATTTATGGAAATAAAACTATTATTTTGGAATGGACAAAAATAATAAATAGGACTATTATATTGGGACGGAATGAGTATTTTATTATAACAATAATCATATGTAAAATTTTGACCATAAAATTGAAAGACCGGGAGGGGGTATGGATGTGTTTTTTTTCGTATTTATCTTTATATTCTTTCCATCCGCCTTTAAGATTACATTTGTCTTTTCCATCATTGTACTTAATGTTAATAAAATTTTTATATTTGTATAATTTTTTATACAAATATTCTTCTATTAGTATTATAAGATATTAATTGAAGTATTTTTGTAATTTTTTTTAATATTATATTTTGATGTAATAATTAATATTTAAAAATCAACACGTAAAAAATAAATAAAACCTTTAAAATCGAACAAAAATATATTTATTATTTTTATATTATCCCCTAACTCGTATAAAAGAAATATTCGTTTGAATTAGTATTTTATAAAATAAACACACCCTATACGATTCATGCATGCATGGAGTAATGTATAGTGTGTAAGCTATGAGAGGGGGTTAGGGTTAGGGTTAGGTTAGGGGTGCAGCTGCAGACTGACTGAGAGCATGCAGGGCAGTATTAATAAAATTGATTTCCCAAAGTAAAAAAGATATTCCTCCTTTGGGTTTAATTTGGAGTTTAGGAAGAAGTAGAAGATTTTGTGGATAAAGTCACCTTTTTTTCATATCACATCCTATCATCATATCACACAAGAGATTTTTCTGCAGTAATTTTAATAATATAGTAGTAGTAAAAATAAAAATAAAAATAAATAAATAAAATAAAAATAAATCTGACATTTAGCAATCATATTCCCTTTGCTCTTCAAGTTAAATTAAAGTAAATCTTAACATGCTTCTTGGAATTCCAAACCCTATATATATAACCCTTAATTTACTAGTATTACATAGTAAAAAAGATTTTATTTATTTGGCTACTACGATTTTTTGTCGAATCTAACTTGCAGACTATATTAAATTAAATTTGATCGAAAATTTACTCATAGTGTATCCGAAAAACAACGGGTGCAAGTGACCATATTATTAAAAATAATAATAATAATAATAATAATAATAATAATAATAATAATAATGAAAATATGATAATAATAATAATAATAATAATAATGAAAATATGTATGTAGGTATGTATGAGTTGGGAGTGGTCATTATTGGAGTTTCAGGGTTGAATAGATGTGTGAGGACATAAATCAAAGCTTCAGGGAATATTCAAGTACGAATCATTGCATATATCTATACTGTTATATTATATGTATATATATACACGATCAAATCTTCAACAAATTTTATAAAATGATCGACATTTAAAAGTTTAAATTTAAAAAAAATATACTCCCTCCCTCACAAATACTGTGTCTACTACACTGTAGATACGGTATTTTAGGAGGGGGTAATAATTAGTAGATAATTAAGAATGCATTAGTGAAAATAATTATCTTATAATATATATAATTATAAATTAAGATTAAGATAACTAATTAATTTAATTAAAATTAAAAAAAAATTTAAAAATTTAAAATGAGATTAAAATTTGTAATCATTTTCCAAAAAAAAAAAGTGACATGGTATGTAGGACGGACAGAAACGACAACGTGGACATGGTATTAAGACGGAGGGAGTATATATTAAAAGTAGTAATTTACATATAAATATTACTCCCTCCGTCCTAAATAAGATGAGCGTATTACTATAAATACGGAAATTTAGGTAAAGTATAATTAGTAAGTAATTAAGAAATGTATTAGTAAAATAATTATAAATTAAGATTAAGATAACTAAATAGTTTAATTAAAATTAAAAAAAAATTTAAAATTTTAAAATATAATTAAAGTGTATAATTCATTTTCCAAAAAAATGAAAGAACAAATTATGTGGGACGGACAAAAATAAAAAATAGAAACAAATTATGTGAGACGAAAAAAATAAATTTTTATTAAATTTTATTCTATTTATTTCAATTTAATGTATTTTCTATTATTTTATTTTATTATAATAAAATTAATAAT